CGAGGTATTATTATAAAATTTATAATTATCTATACTCTATACTAGAATAATATTATAGAATAATTTAATAAAATATTAATTAAATTTATAAGATTTATATTTAGTTAGTTAGATTTATTTATAAACTTTTAATTAAAAATCGTAGTCTATATAAATTATTTAAAAAATAAATTATTATATAATAATAAAGGGAGTAAATTACTCTATGAACTATAGTTTAATAAAAACCCGAATTTAAGTTATAAAAAAGTCTTCGATTATTTATATTTAGTTTATTTATTAAAAGAGAAATAAGAAAATAAGCTATATATTATAACTTATTAAGATATATATATTAATTATTATTTATTTACTTAATATCGAATTTATAATTTTCGAAATAATCGATTTAAATAGTTTATAAATATCTATTTTTATAAGAATTATAAGAGAGTTTAATTAATAACTCTAATTTCGTTTTTAATAATCTATAACTTTATATAAGTAAATATCGTCTTTACTCGCTAAAACGATAATAATTTTAATAACGTTTTTATCTAAAGTAGTATTAAGATTATATCTAATAATAACGATAATAAGAAGAATTATAAAAGGTTTATATCGAATATTATATTATTATTATAAATCGAAGAAATTAAAGATATATAGAATTTTTAAATAGAGAGAGAAGTTTCTATTAACTCTCTAGAAAATATAAATAATAATAAAGATTTAAGACTAAGTAGTCTAAACGTATATTAAATTAAATCGAAATCTTTATTAGATCTTCGCGAAGTTAAAGAGACTCTTAATATCTTAAATAATAAAGAAATAATAAATTAAAAAATAATATCTAAGATTATTATTTAATAATTTATTATATTTATATTTATCTCTAATTCTTCTAATCGTATTAAGCGATATCTTATATCTTAGATTATTATTTTTATATAATAATCTTATATTAAGAAGCTAGATTATAATCTCTATAAATTTTATAGTAATTTTAATATAAAGAATAAGACTAAGCTTATAAATATTATAATCGAACTTTTTATTTATTAGAAAGTTATTTATAAATTAAACGCTCGCGAATAAAAGTAAGCTATTATTAAGAAAATTATTATTTTAATTATTAAAGGGATTTAAAAGCTCGCTATTCTATTAATTAATAGACGCTTAATTATCTATAAATAGATTTTTAAAATTAAATATAATAGCGATAGAACTATTAATAAATTTAAGGCTAGATTTATTATTAAAGAATTTATATAAGTAGAAAATATCGACTTTTATAAGATCTTTACTCTTATTTTATAATTTAACTCTTTACGCTTATTTTTATTATATATAATAATAATAAATCTTTTAATAGAATAAATAAATATTAATAATACTTATCTTAATAGCGATCTCTATAAAGAAATCTATATAATCTTATTATTAGATTATTTATTAATAATTAATACTAAAAATAAGATATTACTTTTTTAAAAAGAATTATATAATCTTAAATAATTAGTCTATATTTAAAATAAGAAATTTAAGTATATTATTAAGAAAATAGAACTTATAGCTATTATAGCTAATAGCTATATCTTTATTCGAGTATTATTAAAAAGAATAGTTATTATAATACTTTATATAAATAATATTCTTATTAAAAGTAAGCTATAAAGTATTATAGACTATATTAAATATTAAATCTATAAAGAATTTAAGACTATTAAAGTAGACTTAATTAATTATATTCTCGATATTTAAGTCTATTATAATTAAAAATCTTATATCTTAATTATTAAATAAGTATAATACGCTAAAAAGATATTTAAAGAATATTTAATAAACTAGACGACTTTTATTTATATCTCTATTAATAAATATAAATTAATTTAACTAGATTAATTAGAGAAAGAATATATAAATTAATTATAATATTAGAAGCGAATAGAAAATCTTATATTCTTTATAATTAATATATAAATCGATTTAATCTTTATTATAAAAAAGTTTAATTAATTTTATTATAATCTTATTATTCGCTATATAAATATCGTAAATCGAATATTTAAATATATATAAGATACTATATCTCTAGAACTACGCTATTAAGAAATAGAAATATTAAAAGAATTCGCGGATTTAGTATATAATAATAATTAGAAAAATCGTAAGTTTATTTATAAATTCGCTCTATTATATAGATAAGTAGTATATATATAATATAGTCGAAAATAGCGAGAGATAACTATATTTATTATAGAAGCTAAATATATAATCTTAATAGAAGAAGATAAAATTATTATATAGATTATACGATAGCTATAAGAAGTTCGTTTTTAAGTATTAGATAAAGGCTCTATAATATTACTCGATAATAATAAAAAGATTATTAATCTTATAAAGAATTTCGAATATTATTAAAGAATTAAATATATCGATATTTAATATTATTATATTTATTAATTAATTAAGAATAAGATAGTTATTATAGACTATATATCTATAATTTAAATAGTAGTAAATATTTTTATTAAATCGCTTAATAAGAAGCTATTTAAATAATATAGAGAATTACTTAAGATATATAGTTATCTAATTAATTAGAAGATTATTATCGAGAAAGTTCGATATTATATAAGACTTAAATTCACTTTTTCGAAATAATCTTACTATATATAAGAGTTATTATATATTCTAGAAGAATAATTTAAAAAGCTATATTAAAAGTTTACGTTATTTCTCTACTTTCTCTACTTTCTTTATAAAGATTTTTTCGAAAAGTAATATTAACTATTTACTCTATTATCTCTATCTTTCTAATAGCTAAATAAAGAGAAAGTATTAATTTTAACGATTTATAATTATTAGCTACGATTTATAGCTATTAATTATAATATAATTAGAGATTATAATTATATAACTATAGAAAATAGCTATATAATTATATTATCTATAGTTATATAGTTATAAAAAATAGTTATATAGCTATATTATCTATAATTATATAATTATAGAAAATAATTATATAGTTATAGATAATAGTTATATAGTTATAACTATAGTATATTAAGATAATTAATTTACTTAACGTATATATAAAATTAATACGTCTAAAAGATTAAGATATAACTCTTAAAGCGATTCGATTTACTATAGACTATAAGTCGAAATCGAATAACTATTAGCAACTCAGCTAAAAAAGCTTGATTCCGGGGGTGTCTACGCTTGACAGCCAGACACCCCTATTTGGACCTAAATAGGGCCCCCGTAGGGCCACTGCTAACAATAACTTAAAGAAACGAATCTTTAGTAATTTAATAAGCGATTTTTTATATTTATATTAGATTTATACTTACTATATAAAGTTCTTTTCTTATATTCTATCTATCTATATATAAGATTTATTTATATAGTATTTATATATAGCCTTAGCTCTAATTATATTAAATATAGCCTATCATATTGCCAACAATATTCACCTTTTCACGGGGCAAAATATTTTCGACTAGACGCACTATCCTACCCTCCCTTCATCCGTCCCGAGAACGGAAGCGGCCCTCGGGTAGATCGGCTTATCGAGGGGGTCGTACATACATACTCCGTAAACGCTCTCATGGATAATACGGCTGCATGGAAGAAGACTTGACGCACCCCGGAGAGACCGAAATCAACACACATCCATGTCAGATATGCGGTTTCGTTTCCATTCTTCTGCATAAATTCTGAGGAACGAGCCAAGTGCGTGGCACGAATTAATTAGAGTCTAGCGGTGGGAACTATTGCCCGTGAAATTCGGGACAAATGAAGGGATGAGTGCCATGGAGTAAGTGGATACCGTGGATCGCTTCAGCGTAGCAGGAGGATCCAAGGAATTTCATGTTTGGGAAAAAAGAGCTCAATATGTCAAAAAGTACAGCCTCTCGCGTCCGCCAGTACCTTATACCAAACGACTCGTGTTCCTCCCTTCTCCTGCAGTCAGACGGCTCTTATGACGTACATATGTCCCGACTGTCCCCCTTCGAGAGGAAGACTCTTCAATTATCAATCATTACTAGTCAATCAAGCTGTGCCTTTTACGAGCGCCGTTACGGATCTATCCTGCGCGGCGTTATGACGAGAGATTTTAGATATCATATATCTTCTAATTAACATAGAGATGTAGTTAACGAAGCATGTTTTACTTTCTCTGTTTCACTAACCATAATACTAGGTACTATAATAACGATATGTTGCTTCTCAGCAATTACATCCCATCCGATCTGAAAGCCATACAGCCTCTTCTCGGGTGCGAAGATAACAAGACAATACGTGATAAGTATTCAGCCAATAGGAAAGTGACCAGTGTGACGATCAAGTTCACATGCGTTGCAAGATAAGCCTTTTGCGGGCTAGCCTCCCTGAATGCAATGCAATGTGGGCTGACGTGGAGAACCGATATGTGCGAAGAAAAGGCACAGTCACCCTTCTGTAACACGCAACAAAATGGCGCAACCAAAAAGGGCCGATACACAATGGCTTTATCATGGCTGCCGTTGCCTTACCGGTAAGATCTGCGTTCAAGACTTCAAGCTCGGCCAACTCCCAGAATTACCTCAATCTCAGCGCTACGTAGGCCTTGTACATGGAAATAAGAAGTGGTGTTACTGGTGACCCCGCATCGTTTCTATGACATCAACGCTGACCGATGATTGGCTATGAAGTGGACGTTGTTTTCTTACTAACAGAGATGTGCGGTTTCGCAAACGTCATATCAAAGACCAATTCCAAGTATTGTCATAAGCGGATTTGATTGCTGTCATTTCACCCGCAACGGGCCAGAGCGACGATCTTTGTAGTTTTAGGAGCGCTCAAGGGTTATCTTAAGGGAAATCGCCTCTGCTGTTCGCTACTCACTCGAGGCACATTTTACTCTCATCGATCGAGAATTCAATGCTGCGCTGGTAGCGTTACTGTGAATCTCATAGACTCTACCGCTCTTCAGATTCGAAAGTTCAAAGGCCATCTTGGCCTAACCAAATATGCAGGAAGAACAAGATGCTCGCCAAGCAATTGCGATCGTTGGCATGTCTGGTAGATTTCCTGGAGCAGACAATTTGGAAGACTTCTGGCATATCCTCGAGAGAGGTGAGGATATGTGCAGAGAGGTACCTATGTCTGAAAATTTCCCTGGTTTTGCTGAATTGACAATGACTAGGTCCCGCCCGATCGTTTTAACATCCAGTCGCATTACGACGTATCGGGAACGAAACGAAACTCTACGCTTACGCGTTATGGCTGCTTCATTGAACATCCAGACCTTTTTGATCGAAACCTCTTCAAGCTTTCGTCCCGCGAGGCCGCTCAAACAGATCCCATTCATAGGCTTCTGCTAATGACAGCATATGAGTCGTTGGAGATGGCTGGAATGTGGCATGGCAGCCACGCCAGCGCCGATGATCCCTTGGTTGGGACATTTTATGGTCAAAGCAGCGATGACTGGCGAGAGGTAAACGCTGGCCAGGACATTGGTATCTTTCACACCTCAGGCGGCATCAGGGCGTTTGGACCAGGCAGACTCAACTATCATTTCGGATGGGAGGGTCCAAGTATGAGTATCGATGCAGCATGTTCATCCAGTGCAGTAGCCATCCAATTGGCTTGTTCTTCCCTTAAAGCTAAAGAGTGCAACGCTGCTCTGGCTGGAGGCGCTAACATCATGACAGCACCTGATATGTTCGCGGGGCTAAGTCGAGGAAGGTTTTTGTCCGTAACTGGATCTTGTAAAACCTGGGACGAGAATGCAGACGGGTACTGCCGCGCTGATGCGGTAGGTACTTTGGTTCTCAAACGCCTTGAAGACGCTATCAGAGACAAAGACAACATCTTGGGCGTGATAAAAAGCGTTGCCACAAACCACTCTTGCAGGGCAGTATCAATCACACATCCCCATGCTGAGACTCAGCGACGGTTGTTTGAATCAACTCTCTTGAAAGCAGGCATCAATGCCAGTCAAGTTGATTTCATCGAGATGCATGGGACTGGTACTATTGCTGGTGACAATGCTGAGTCCCAGTCAGTAGCGGCTTGCTTCGGGAAATCTCACACAGAGAGTAAACCGCTCTTTATTGGCACTGTAAAGCCTAACCTTGGCCATGGTGAGGCAGCTTCCGGTGTTACTTCTATCATGAAAGCCATCATGATGTTACGCAAAGGTCTGATACCAAAGCATATTGGTATCAAAACCGGTATCAACGAAAGCCTAGCTATTCACTCCTCAGAAAGCATCCGGATTTCCATGGATACAATACCTTTTACGACGGTTAACGAAGATGGTAAACGACGGATCTTGATGAACAACTTCAATGCCACGGGAGGTAACACATGCATCTTGCTCGAGGAATTCCCCGAAAGCCGACCACACAACGGTGACCCTCGGCAAAAGCATATAATTGCGATGTCTGGAGCAACAGAACAGTCATTGACGGAAAATATCCGGCGGATGGCCCAACACTTGACATCGAACCCTAGCACGGATCTTGCAGACCTGTCTTACACTACCACGGCTCGTCGTACGCACCATCGATATCGTCTCGTCTGGGTAGCCACCAAGACTCACGACCTGGTAGGACTCATGGAAGGAAGCCTCAAGAGTGCCTCTCCCAAGTTGCCTACCCCTAGATCACTGAACCCTGTATTCGTCTTCACCGGCCAATCCTCCCAATATTCAGGAATGGGTCAAAGGTTGTACCAGACTTCAAAACCATTCAAAGAGCATATAGATTCATTCGAGGAGATATGCAAGCAACTCGCACTACCATCATTCGTCCAGGTCATTACTGGCAATCCTTCAAAAGATCAGAACTCCAATACAACCATAATCTGCAGCCAGTTGGCTCTTGTTGCTCTAGAGATTGCTCTTGCCCTACTCTGGTTATCATGGGGGCTCGCACCCAAAGCCATCGTTGGCCATAGTCTTGGGGAATTTGCAGCGTTGTGCATTGCTGGTGTCCTTACGATCCGAGATACATTCTTCCTTGTTGGTACCCGTGCGCATCTCGTTGCCACACGATGTAAGTCTGAAAGCCACGCAATGTTGGCTATCAGAATGCCCACGGAGCAATTGAAAGAAAGCCTTGGGAAAAGTGGTCTGCTGGATTGTGAGGTCGCATGCATCAATGGTCCGGAGCTCACAGTTGTAAGTGGACCGACAAACCAGGTCAATGAACTCCACCGTCAATTTGGTTCTAGAAGCAAGTCCCTGCAGTCGCATTTCGCTTTTCACTCGGCGCAGATGAACAGCATCCTTGAAGATCTTGGTGAAGCGGCTCTCGGTGTCAAATACTCAAGACCCATTTTTCCCATTGCATCTACTCTTCTTGGCCGGCTAGTTACGAATGAGGGCATCTTCAATGCCGAGTACATACAGCGGCAGACCAGAGAGCCCGTCGACTTTCTTAACGCTATCAACAAATGCGTAGAAAGCTTTAATGCTACTGACAGTATCATGTGGATAGAGGTTGGTCCAGATCTTCAGTGCCTACGAATGATTTCTGCTATTACTGGGGTCAACGACTCTCAACTGGTTATGTCAATGGACAAGAGAGAAGATAATTGGACAACAATCACAAACGGCTTGGCTAGGGTCTACACCGCGGGCGCTGACATTGCATGGTCCGAGTACCACAATCCGTTTCGAAATTCGCTGAAGATGCTTGATTTACCGACATACGCTTTCGATTTGAAGAGCTACTGGTTGCAATACAAAGGCGATTGGAGTATCACGAAGAACCGATCAATAACAGAGTCATCGGACACAGTTCCACCCGCTAGGTTGCATAGTACCACGTTACATTGTGTTCGGGAGGCACGTCAGAGCGAGGGTAGGTTGTCAATGGAGTTCACATCAGATCTTGCCGACAAAGCCCTCAATTCAATCATCGGCGGCCACACCGTGGGTGGTGTCGGACTGTGTCCAAGCTCCGTCTACGCAGATATGGCTATGACGGCTGCATCTCAGCTCTGGGAATTACGACCAGTGACGTCAGGCCCCGATCTCACCATAGAAGTCTCGAATTTGGAGATTCTTAGACCTCTCATTATTCAAATGCACACCACAAGCCAAGTGATCCATCTTTCGGCTACATCCGACTCGAAATCTGATGAGGTCAGTCTTTCAATTGAGTCCAGAGGTGGCCAGGGAAAGGAAGTACATGCACGGTGCGTTGTTTCTCGGACGCCTACTGAGGTGCTAAAAGAGGGTTGGGAATGCACCGCATACCTCTTTCAATCTCGAATTGAATCTTTAATGACCGCCGCGAGCCTAGGAACAGCCCATAAAATTCTCCAAGGGATGGTCTATAAGCTTTTTTCAAGCCAGGTTAGCTACACTTTGGCATTTCAGTGTATGAAGGAGGTGTTCCTCGACAGTAAGGCAATGGAAGCAGCAGCATTGATAGAGCTGCAGCCGACTGAGACTGACGAGCAATTCCTCTGCAGTCCACATTGGATTGATGGACTAGCGCACTTGAGTGGTTTCGTCTTGAACGGTAGCGATACCAGCCCAGAGGATACTGTCTTCATCTCGGACGGATGGAAATGTATGCGTATAATCTTGCCCTTGGAGAGTGGGAAGCGTTATCATACCTATGTGCGAATGCGCAATGTAAAGGCATCCCGGGCCATGAAGGGCGATGTATGGATCTTTGACGGTTGCGAAACAGTGGGCGTCTTTGAAGGCTTAAATTTTCGTGCCATCAAGAAAAGTATGCTGCCAACTCTTTTGGCCAAAGAGGAACTTCCCCAGAAAGTCACGAATTTTCAAACCGTTAAGAAGCTCCGCAAACCCGACCCTCTGGATAGCAGTACTCTGTCCTCTTATACAATTAACATCGTTGCTGATGAGCTCGGTATATCCACAGAGAAATTGCTGGACGAGATGCGTCTGGATGAAGTTGGCATCGATTCACTGCTTGCAATTTCAATCTCATCCCGACTTCAACAATCACTCCGATTGCATTGTCCGAGCTCTTCGATTACAAAGTGCGAAACCATCGGGCAGTTGAAGAAGACAGTCGAGGCTTGCTCAACGGTATCGTCGAATGACAAGCCGATCCAATCGACGCCACTCACAGGAAAAGACATCTCTGATCAGAGTCCACCACCGAATATTGTTACCAGTGTAGAGTCAGGTAGCTTTGGCAAGGATTCCGACATCTCCAGAATGTTTTACAGGGTTCTCGCAGACGAGCTGGACGTTGACCTTCGGGAGTTGCATGCTGGCCTCATTTTCTCTGACCTTGGAGTAGACTCACTGTTGAGCCTGTCAATTACAAGCGAGTTTGCCGCTCGAAGCAACTTTCATCTTCCCACCATGTTCTTCCATGAACATCCAACTTTAGGAAATGCCTGCACATTCTTGGAGCAGGCTCAGAATCGTACACAAATTTCGCGCGAGGGGCTGTCACCTGGTGAGCAGCCGAAATGCAGCGGATGCCCCCATGTCTACCTTCAAGGTCCAACGGCTCCAAGCTCATCTAACCTTTTCCTCTTTCCTGATGGATCCGGCTCTGTTGGCTCGTACGCGAACTTTCCTCGACTCTCGGCTGCTGTTTCCGTCATTGCGTTTGGCAGCCCATTTCATGATCGTCCTCGAGACTTCGTCATCTCAATCCAGGAACTAGCTCAGATTTTCGTCTGCAAGATGCTGACTCTACAGCCCGAAGGACCCTACCTTCTAGGTGGCTGGTCTATAGGTGGCGTGTACGCATACGAAGCCACTGCTCAGCTTCTACGACTCGGAAAGCAGGTCAAAGGACTGATCCTCCTCGATGCTCCATGCCCGACCGCGCTACCTCCGTTCCCTATTGATAACATTGATGTCCTCGAAAGTCTCGGTGTATTTGACCAAACTGAAAGGCGAGAAGCCGATGTCCGAGTCTCCACAAACATCCTACAGCATTTCGCGTCTAGTATTGGCGCTCTGGAGAATTACGCCATCGAACCACTTCCACACAGAAAGCCAACGCAGCCTATTTGCAGAATCATCTGGGCACGCCATGGAGTCCTAGAAGGCTTATCAACTAGAAAGAGAGAACAATTCCTGACTACACGCAGGCATGAGGTGACCAATTTCAACAAATTTCAGAAATGGCTGATGGTTTCGCGCGTAGACTACACGCCCAATGGGTGGGACAAACTCATCAACACCAACATCAAATGCAGTATAATAGACGGTGATCATTTCTCGATGATGAGGCATCCCAAGGTACAGCATTCCCAACAAGCTCCCATAACCATCGCTTTCGCTAAAAACAGCGGGCAACAGGCGGCTCTTCTAGTTAAGGCGATTGATTCTGCGCTAGCAGATATTTGCAAATCGTAGATTACCGACTTCGGCTTCTGTGAAAGTCGGTTTCAAAGCAAGGATGATGAAATATGAGGCCGCCCTGTCTGGGATCCGTAAGACGGGACTGCTCGGGGAATCGTCCTCGCACATTAGGTGTTTAATGAAGTCCATATACCTCTGCAGAGACGACATTAGCCGAGGGTGGGAGTCCATAGCTAAAAGCATTAACATTCGTGGTGTCTGCATCCTAGAAAGGGGTCCTACACCCACCTCTTAATTATAAATAAGTTAAAGAGATTATTTTTATTAATTAATATCGAACTTAGATTATATATATTATAAATAAAAATTACTCTTAGCTAATCCTCGCTATTATTCTTCTTTAATTATATTTTTAATATATATATATTTCTTAATAGATATTTAACTTTCTAATAATTTTTATTAAGCTTTTTATTAATATAGAAATAAGTTTTTATATTCTTTTTAAATTAATACGCTAGATAAAAAACGCTAATACTAAGATTATATAAGAATTAATTATATTTTATAAAGTATAATTTTTAAATAATTAGAATATTAATCTTCTAAACTACTTAATTTATAAATAAAATTATTATTATTTTTAATTATTTTCTAATTATTAGAAACTTAATAATATATATAATAACTCTATATTATAGTATAAAGAGAATATTATTTATATAGAATTATTATAAATATAGATTTTATAGTAAGATAGAAAGATTAAAAGATCTTAGTACGCTAAGCTTAATTAAGCTATAATATAAATAAGATTATTAAAATTATAATATTACTTTTCTCTTTAATTTAGAGCTTTAGCGACGATTACTATATAGTAGATATCGATCTTATAAAAAGTATATCTAGATATATATAAAGTAATATTCTTAAAAATATTAATTTAATATTTTATAATAGATTTAAGATCTTTTTATAAGTTAATATAATTATTATAGATTAATAGCGCTAATAGAGAAGACTATTTCGAAGATTTTTTAAATAATAAATAAGAGTTAACGATCTTAAGATAATAATAATAGAAGTCTATTATTAGATTTAAATATTCTACTATATTTATAAATAATTATTAAAATAGATTTTTCTTAATTTTAAAGTCTTTATATCTAATTTTATATATTAAATATCTTCTCTTATTAATTAAGAAATTATTTTTTTATTTATTTAATTTAAATTAAACTATTTTTTTAATATTATAAATTTTATCTTCTTTATTAATATCGATAGAAGATAATAAAAACTTAATCTATTCTAATAGTAAATCGCTATTATTAAAATATAATAGCTATAAATAAGAAATAAAATAAATATTATTTATAAAAATAGAAAGTTCTAATTTATAAGCGAAATTATTTAAAACTTTAATAATTTTAAATAATTTAAATTTTTTATAATCTAATAATTTATTAAAGTATATAATTTTAATATTTCTTTTATTAAGTATAATTATATTTTTAACTTTAAATTTTAATATCGAAAGTTAATAATAATTAGCTTACTTTTTCTATAAAACTTATAATTATTTAAATTAATTTTTTAAATAATTTTTTATAATATTTATCTTTTTAATAAATTTATTAGCTAATTTAATATCTCTCTTTACTTTTTAATTAATAAATTAATTTTAAAAAGTAAAGAATTTTATTTTTAAATAAAAAATATATTTTTTAATAAGAAAAAATAATAATACGCTTAATAAGGCGTTCTTATCGAAGTTAGCTTCGAACTTTATTATTAATAATAAATTTATTTAATTATCTTAATTATAATTAATATAAATATTAAAATATTACTTTAAAATAGCGTTAACGTTCTCTATTTATTTATTAATTTTAAAATAAAATATAATAGAGAATTTAGATTTAATTTTAATTTTTTTATATAGTCTTCTTTAGAAATATATTATAAATTAAATATCTCGATTTAAGATAATAATAAATAAATATTTTTTCTCTCGCTATATAAATTCGATAAAGATTTAAATTATTATCTTTACTTCTAAGAAATCTAAAAAAATAATTTTTTTCTTTTTATTAAATTTATTTATAACTATTATAATATATTAATAAAAGCGTTTATATTTAAAATAAATAAATAATAATATAATAAAGTTAATAAAAATATCTTATTAGTATTATTTAAAAATAGATAAAAATTTAAAAAGATCTTATTTATTCTTTTTATAAGTTTTAAATTTTTTATAGATATAATAGCTCTTAATATAATAAGTAATAAAATTTATTATTCTTAGCTAATAATAATATTTATTTAATTTATTATAAATTAATAATTTATTAATATAATCTTTAAATAGAGAGTTATAAATATCTCTAATAATTTTAATTTATAATTTAAGAATATCTAATATATATAATTTATTATTAATATATAATAATTTATTATAAAGATAATAATTATTTAATTTTAATTTAAGATTAATTTTAATTATTTTAAATAATAGCTTTCTTTATTTAGATATTTTTAATTAAATAATTTTTTAAATAATATTATTATAATTATAAGCGTCTTTTATTTAATATAATAACTTAAAAATATTAATAATAGAGATTTCTCTTAATTCTTTTATAAACTTCTCTTAAAAAGTCTTTATTAAAGTTCTTAATAATAATTCTTTATTAGACTTTTTATTATTAATATTATTTTATTTATTAAATTTATATAGTATTATAATTAAAGAGATAATTTTTTTTTTATATTATTTAGAAGTATAGTAGTAAGATATATAATATTTTTAATATCTTTATTAAGATTATTATTTTAAAAATTATATAATATTAATAATAAGTATAATTATTATTCTTATTTTTAGATAAATCTTTTATTTATTAAATAAGATTATTAGATTTAATACTTTATTTTCTTAAGCGATAAATAATATAAAAATTAAAATTAAAAAGAAACTTCGCTTATTTTATTTAGTAGAAATTAAATTATTTAAAAAATATAAAATATTATAAATTTTTATAATTTAAAATAATTTTAATAAAATCTTTAATAGAGATATTAGCTAGTTTAGAATACTATTTTTTAAAGATTTATATTATAATTATAAGTTTCTTATTATAAATATTATAATTATATTCTATAGAAGATATCTTTTTAAAGAGAAATATTATAAATCTAAATACTTTATTTTTATTTTCTTATAATAAAATAATAATAATTATAAAATTAGATATATTTATTTCTAATTAAATCTTTTTATTTAAATTAAAATAAGTAAATATAGAGATAATAGTAAAAGCTTTTTTAAGTATTTTAAAAGTAAATTATTTAGAGTATTCTTAAATTTACGAATAAATAAAATCTTTCTTTTATTAAGTATAAATAAAATTTATTAGAAGTATAGTAATTTTAAAGTATTTTATAATAAACTTTTAATAGAAATTAGCGAATTTTAGAAATATTTATATATCTTTAATATATCTAAATTTCTTTTATTAAATAATAATTTTAATTTTCTTTATATTTATTTCTACTTCTTTTATTATAATAATTAATTTTAGATATTTAATTTTAATAATATAAAAGTTATATTTATTAATATTAAGATAAAGATTAACTTATTAAAATTTCTTTAATATCTTTTCTATATATTAAATATACTCGTCTTTAATATTATTATAAATAAGAATATTATTTAAATAAATAATATAAAATATATCTAGATATTCGTATAAGATATTATTAATAAATATTTAAAAAGTAGTAAAGATATTATATAATTTAAAAGATATTATTATATATTTAAATAGATTATATTAAATAAAAAATATAATTTTTTTTTATAACTCTTTTTTACTCTAATTTCGTTAAAAGTAGTTATAATATCGAATTTATTATATATTCTTATCGCGTATAATTTAGCGAGAGTCTTTTTAATTAATAGAGAAGTATTTTAATTAAAAATAGTAAGTATATTAAAAGCTCTATAGTTTATATATAATCTAAATTCTCTATCGAGTTTTTTTATAATTAGAATAAATATTATATAAAGAGAAATATTTAATCTAATATAGCTTTTCTTTAATATTTTATTAATATATTTTTTTATAATTAATATCTAATCTCTAAAGAGTTTATAAATTCTTTTTAATAATAAAATAATTTCTTTTTTAAGATATATTTTATAATTAATAAAGTAATAAAAGAAAAGTTTATTAATTTTAATAGAATTTTAAATATCTAGCTATTCGTAATATATTATAAAAATTTATTTTTATAATTATTCTATAGTTAGAGATTTCTTTTTTAATTTATAAAAGAATTTTTTATAATCTTTTATTATAATAGCGATAATATTAGTAATAAATTTTACTTTCTTATTAATAAAATTAGAAAATTATTCGAAATCTTAAAATTATATAATAAAAATTTAATTTAATAATTTTTTAATTATCTTAATAAAGATATAAGCGAAAATCTTTATTATATTCTTTTTTTTAAATATAATCTTTACTATATAATTTAAATTCTTTTTTAAAAATTTATTATTACTTTAAATAGTAATAGATTTACTATATAATAAATAATTAAATATATAATAATCTAAATTAAATATAATAATTCTAAATTTAAAGAATATATAAAAATTATATTATTCTAATTATAATATTTCTAAAATAATATTAAATTATTTTAATAAGATAATTAAATATTAAAGTTTTTTTATATAATTTTTTAAGATAAATTTTATTAAGATTATATATATAATATTAAAAATAAAGATAGATTTATTATTAATTAATTATATGTTAAGGAATAGTCCTAAGTGGAATCATATGCATGAATAATGTGTGTGTGGTGTGATAATTAAGTAGGCCTGCAGTGGAAGAAGTCTCTGCAGTGCCGCAGTGCCAAGGCACTAAGCCCAATCGGGACGCCTAGTGGAGGAATCCGTAACAAATGCCACCGAAGAAGAAAAATGACAGCGTCCTCGCTGCAGACATGGAGACGCCAGAGATACATCAGGTGCCATAGGCCTGCTTCTCCCGATTCTTCTCTGAAATCCCCATGGCCAAATGCTGAATCCCTAATCGGCTACATAGAGCATGCGCCATTCACATATCCATGCACCTATCCTTGGCCTGTAGCCTCCATATCCTTCGCATATCGAATATAGCCGAGCGGGGAGGCGAGTTGAGAGGCGAGAAAAGAGGCGAGAAGAGAGGCGAGAAGAGAGGCGAGAAGAGAGGCGAGAAGAGAGGCGAGAAGAGAGGCGAGAAGTGGAGCGTTACTGAGGCGAATGGCAGACTCTCCGCAATAGTGCATATCAGCCTGGTGTGGAATAGTGGAGAGTGTGCCGGCTTGAATAGGACTGCTGGCGATGCTTTTTTTCTCCGCAGTTTTCTCCGTAGGTTTCTCCGCAGTTTTCTCCACAATTTTGTCCGCATTTGACTGTTGCCATGGCTTAGTTCTAGCTTCAAGGTCTGTCAGTCTGGTCTCGAAGGCTGTCATAGCCTGACTGATTGCTGCAGTCATCATGACTTGTAGGGAGGCTGTTTGCTCTGCTGTAAAACCAGGCATAGGGCTGGAAATGTGGCTATTGTACGCCATGGTGGTAGGACGAATGGCCTAGTGAAAGGATCGCTGTAGACGAGTGTGGTAGGGTCCGATTAGGAGCTGGACTAAGGCGAGGTGGGCGTCTAAGAGACTCTGGAGATGCTACACTCGGTGGGAGTGGTGTTCTCTGTAGATTTCTCTGATAGTGAGTGTTGTAGGGTCCGTGTAGGTGCTGGACGAAGGCGAGGTGGGCGAATGTAACGAGGACAGCTAGTGCTAGGCCTGAATCGACCGAGGTGTTGCTACCATTGTTAAGGAATAGTCCTAAGTGGAATCATATGCATGAATAATGTGTGTGTGGTGTGATAATAATGAACTATGTAGGCCTGCAGTGGAAGAAGTCTCTGCAGTGCCGCAGTGCCAAGGCACTAAGCCCAATCGGGACGCCTAGTGGAGGAATCCGTAACATTATAATCTATAAAATTATATTAATACTACTTTAAATAGTTTATTTATTTTAATAAAAGATATATTTATAAAGCTTAATATTAAAGCTTTAATATTTAAAAGATAATTAATTTTAATTTATTTTATTAATATAATAATTTTTTTATAAAAATTTAATTAATATTTATTTTATAAAGAGATTTTAGTAATAATAATATACGCGAATAGAGAGATAGAAGCGAGTATTCTTTTTATTTCTAACTTTTTAATTTTTATATATAAGATTTTTAAATTTCTAATAATAACTTAGTTAGAGATATTTAGTTTTTCAATTTTTATAATAATTCGATAAAGACGTTCTCTTTAATATTAATAGCTTTTAAAATTATATTTTTATATAAAGTATTATTATTATTAAAATAATATCTAATCTTTAAATATTTAAAATATCTATCTTCTTTTTAAATTCTATTTATTAATAATTTAAGATATTTATATTTTTATATATAGAAATTTTTAATAGTAATATTATTATTTCTTCTAGTAAAGAAAATATTATATTAATTATTTAAGAGAGTAAAGTTTTTATTAATTTTATTAATTTCTTTCTTACTCTTTAAATCTAATATATTATTAATAATTTAAAAATTTATATCTAGTATTTATAGAAAAATAACTAATTCTTAAAAAGTATTAAAAGATTATTTTAAAATTCGATATTTTAGATATATGAAGATTAATTATTTTAGATTAATTATTTTATAGATATTAGTAAATTCTAAAGAAGTAATAATTATAAAAAATCGTATATAGAAATTCTCGAATAATTTCTTTTTATCTATTACTCTTATATTAAATTTAAAATTAAATATCTTAATATTTAATTTAATAATTTTATTAATAATTTTAAATATATTATTTAATTTATTAATTATTTTTTAAATAATTTAATATAGATCTAAGATATCTTTATTTACTTTTATTTTAATAATATTATATATAATAAACTTATAATAATTTTATATATAATCGATTTTTTTAAATTTAATAGAGAAGATTATAGCGCTTTATTTAAACTTCGCTTTAAAATATTAATATTAATTATCTTACTTATTTCGATTATTAATATTATAAAAATTCGAAATATCGAGATATTATTTATCTAATTCTATATTCTCTACGCGATTTATAATAAAAATATAATATAAGTTTTAATAGATATTATTAATAAGAATACTCGGCTAATAAGATATAATCTCTATATCTTTCTTATTAAAATTTTTTAAATTAGTTAATATATAAGATTATTACTTCTTTAGCTATTACTTTTTATACTTTAAATCTTATTTAAATTTTTTATTTTCTTTAATAAGTTTTATAGTATTAATACGATATCTATTACGTAAATCTTAAAGTCTATTATTAATTTCTTACTTATAAAATAATTAACTATTATTATTATTTAATTAGATAATAATTATTAATATCTTTATTTTAATATAAGCGATATTTTAGCTAAGTTCTTTATTTTATTATTAAAATATTTTAATATTACAATTAATAATTCGAAAGCTCTTTATTAGAGTTTTTAATTTATTATATTAAATATTAAAAATATTAATAGCGCTTTTTATAAAATCTTATAAGTTAATAATAGATATAAAGATTATAATTAACTCTTCTTCGATAATATTTATAAATTATATTTCGATATAATCTAAATTAGATTTAATAGTATATCTTTTAAAGATAGAATATATTTTTTTACGTTATACGAATAATATAGTAATATTTAAGATCTTTTTATCGAAGTTTTTAAATTCTTCTAAATAATAATATATCTATAACTTACTTATAACGATTTAATTTTATATATTATTTAAATTTAAGATTAATAGATTTATAGTTAATATTAAGCTAATAAGAGTATAAAGAAAATTTAATCTAAGATTTATTTCTTTTAATATACTAAAGGTATTTTTTTTTTAAATTCTTATTTAATTTAGCTAAATTAGTCTTTATATAAATAAAAGATTTTTTTTTAAATAATCTTTTAAGTAATAAGCTTCTTTAGTTATAGCTATTAATTTTTTAATAATATACTCTCTTTTTAATTATATATTTAATATAATTAGTAAATAAATCGCTATTATTTTAGAAAAAAGATAGATAATATTATATTAAGAATTTAATAATATATATAATAACTTTATATTATAGTATAAAGAGAATACTATCTATATAGAATTATTATAAATATAAATTTTATAGTAAGATAGAAAGACTAAAAGATCTTAATATGCTAAGCTTAATTAAGTTATAATATAAGTAAGATTATTAAAATCGTAATACTAATATTATATTATAAAAGTTTTATTCGCTATTATTCTAATATAAGATCTTTAATTATAAAATCTATATTATAACGTCTTTCTTAATTAAAATTTTATTTAAAGTTCTAATTTCTTAATTTATAATTATTATTTATTCGATTACTATAATTATTATTATCTTTATTATTAAAACTTCGATATTTTTAATAAATCTTATATTTATAAAAGTCTTTTAATCTTTCTTTTAATAAAGAGCTATAAATAATCTTAATCTTTTTATTCTTATTTTTAACTATAATATCTTATTTATTATAATATTAAAATTCTTATATAAATTAATTATATTAATTAATACTTTTCGCTTCTTTTTAAATATTATTAATATAAATTCTATCTTTATCTTAGCGAGATTTATTAATAACGTTTTTAAGTATTTATAAAGTAAAACTTTATTAATTATTCTCTATATAATTCTTTATCTCTTTTTAATCTTTACTAAATAATTCTTATTTAAAACTATATATTCTTTTTCTTTATATAAAATATAAATTTTTTAAAATTATAAATATTAGCTTTTTATAATTTTAAATATTATAAGTTTAGATCTATAAACTAAATTTATAGAAAGTAATCTATTTTTAAATCTAATTTCGAGATTAAATTCGATTCTCGAACTTCGAAGAGTAAGAATATTTTAATTTAAGATTTATTTAGAATTATAAGATCGAATTTTATTTATTTTAAATTATTAGAAAGTATAGATTAAGTTCTATAATTTAAAGAAATAATAGTAGATTTTAATAGAAAAAAGAGATATTATATTAATAATAGATTTCTAGAAAGTTAATTAACTTTAAATTAATTTAAATTTAATTAATAAGAAGTTAATTTTAATATCTATTATAGTCTTTTCATTTTATTTACTATTATTAATATTTTTATAATTTATAAAAAATTTATTAATTTTACGATTTTAACGATTTTTATAATTTTACGATTTTTTAGCGAGAGAGATTAATAAATTCGAATCGAGGACGAAGCGAAATAATTTCGAAAATTATTAAAATTATTATTACTCGACTATCTAATAATCTAAGCTTATTTAAAAGAGTATTCTTAATAAAGTAAATAAGTTTTTAATAAGCGATATTTAAATCCTCTATCTTTAAATATTTATAAGATTAAATTTAGAAATTCTTTTTTTATCTAAAAGTATTACGAGCGTATTCTATATTCTTAATATACTATTTAGCTCTCTAATCTATTCGGGCCTAGCGTATCTTAATAGAGATATTTATCTACTATTTAATATCTTTCTTTTATTTATATAATTCAATGTCTTAGTTATCTTATTTAATATATCTATATTAATATTATATCTATATCAATTCTAATAGAAAGTTTATATTTTATTTTATAATTTAAAAAAAAAATCTTAAAAATTTAATAGAAAATAAAAAAGTTATTTTATATATTAATAATATATATCTATTTTTTTAATAATTATAAATACTAATTTATTTATTCGCGATAACTTAGTTAATATAATTAGTAGTCGAAAAGATATAATATTTAATATGAAATTTAAGTAATTTTCGAGATATTATCTTAAAAGATATAGAATATTTCTAATTCTACTCGATATTTTATATATAAATTATCGTATTTTAAAATCCTCTCGTATAAAATAAACTAGTCTCGTTATAGAGCTTTATGAATTATAAGATTCTATAAATAGATTATAAAGATATAAATTTTTAAAGAAAAGAAGTAAAAGTTAAAAAATTTCAAGTTTAAATTTTTTTATATCTTTTTAACTAGTAAATCTAATTAAAGAGCGTAGCGAATCTAAATTTATAATTAGCTATATATATAAATTTAAGATTTTATAGCTTAGCTCTATTTTATTCTTTTATATATATTAATAAAGTATCGATTAAATATAAGATAGTAAGATCTCTTTTAATAAAACTGCGTAGCAGCTATATAATTATAAGGTCTAGATACGTAGTTAATAGAATAGATAGATTAGTTACTAGATAAACTAATAACTAAAGAAAGAAGAAGGGAAAAAAGGACTTATAAGAATTTAAGACTTTATTAAGTATGTTAAATACTCGCCCTAGCTACGTAGCTTGCAGCCTAATAAGCGACGTAAGCGAGCCTATTAATTCGCTCCGAGTACTTTCACCCTTATATTAAATCGCTATTAAATTTTCTATTAAATATTTAAATATCTTATTAAATAAGTTATTTCTACTTTAGCTATTTATA